CACACCTACGGATGGTTGCCTCATTACCGGAGGACTCTTAAGCTGCTGACTGCCACTACCTCGATGCCTGAGTGTTTGCCAGTTTTGGGTACTCTAGCCAAGCTGAGTTTTGCTGAGTCAAACTAAGTTTTTGTCAACCTGAGTCTTAACATTGTTGTTTTTGTCTTTGCCTCTTTGCAGGAAGTCATCCTGCAAACTGGATGTTTTGGACATTCTTCCCCTGGAAGGATAGTCTTAGTTTCAAACTGAGCTGGGGATTCAAACTGGAGGTTTGGATCTACTTTCCTCCAAGGGATTGTTTGAGCTACACTCTGAGCAGGGGATTCATCTCCACAAGAAACAGTTTAAGTACCGCAGAAAATCTAAGTGGCAGTCAGCTCCTCCCCCAAGGAAACACCTCAACCTGGGTAAACCCTGTCCGCCCTCCAATGAGCAACTCAGTTACTAGAACAACCCACACCGACTGGATTCAGAGAAAGACACTTTTTACTGGAAACGTGAGTCCCATTGCATTTTTATTCCCTTTTGCAAATCGAAGCTCAAATTTCCCACTGAGCCTGAACTAATCACAGGAATTTCCCATTCACTTTTCAGTCCTGGTTCGCCAGTGTTCAAAGCAGCACTGGACCCATCTCTACCAGTTTTCAATAAACCTGTTAAACCTTCCCTTGGTCTCTCTGTATGATTTTCTGCATATGGGTCAGATCTTTGAATTAAATCATGACACCCACTAGGTCATAGCAAATACTTGATATCTCAACAGTTCGGACATTTGATGCCTCTACAGCTCTTGGGCTATTTTTACAGTCACACATTTTTAAAAATTGAGATATGGCACAAAGAACAAGCTTATGGTTTTATTTTCAGTTTTTCATTGTCAATCAATAAGATCCAGTTCTGTAATAACTCATTCAAACGAAAATTAAATTAAAAAGAAATGTATTTGTATTAGATCAAATTATTTTATTAGTGTGACAAATAATGGACAGATTTGTAATAAAATAATGTAATCAGTCTTTAAGTAATTTTATGAGACCATTCAAAAGTCTATAAAATCAAGTAACATTACAATTTAAGAAGACAGCTTTTTTTCCTGTATCAAACAAATAATACAAAAAACAAAAAAAAATCGAATCCGATCACTGATAAATTGATACATTTTCAAATTATTAATTTCTAACTACTTATCAAGCCAAAAAAGTATGTTAAGATATATAACGCTCCTTAATTTTTGTTATGGCAGAAAACTATAGATATTTAAGGTGCACTAGACATCACTTCACCAGCCTGACAGTGAGGTTTGGAGGTAAGAACATCATGGTGCAGGAATGATTTCTGCATATGGTACAAGCAGACTTTACTAGTTTTGAAGGAGAAATGAATCGGAAAAAAGCTATCCACATATTCTGGAGGTAAACCAGCAGTTTATTAAAGTTGCCTATTGACCTGATGTCACCTAGAAATCCTGCTGACTACTTCAATTGGGGACCATTTATGGCTTTATTGATCAATGAATGATAACCATACCAAGTAATGATGCAAAACACAACAGATTCCATGAAACTTAAATCTCAGGTTTTTACAATTGTTTCTGAACAGAGTAGACTTTGCACAGGTGAAATCTAATTGGATAGGCCGATACCTTAGAAATGAACCTGGAGAACAATTGTTAAATGGTGAAGGTTTAGGTTGAAAGGACACTGACCTGACACCTAGAAATTAACTTCACTCAGACCAATTGTGCAAATAGTTCTGCATATCCTCCTTAATGTCCTCAATTCAGTCCTCACAACTCTGCAGTGTTTAATAATTTTCAAATCACATTTCAATTTTCAAGTGTTTTTTATACCTTTATAATGCAAGAAGACAGTTATAACACCACAGACAATTTGCTATGCCAGTAAATAATGACTAGATCAACCCATACAAAGATTTCACTGGAACCAAAAATGGCTTAAAATAATAAATCGTTTGTGGATTCAGAGACCAGCAGATTTATCATTTATAACAACTGTTATTTAAAAAAAAGTTTAGACAATTTGGAGTATGGTATCATGTTAAAACTGGCAAAAATACATTTTTTTCAGTAACTGATTCAAATTATTTTCATCAAATAAATCAAGACAGCTTTGAATTACTAAAATCCCCTTGAAATATCTTTCCAGAAATTATCATTCTGAAAGCTGTCCGGTACCAGCTGTAAAAAAAAGCATAAATAAACGGATTAAGCATTGAGTTAGTCAGTGTTACCCAGTTAAGGGCCTCAATCACAACAAATGGCACTGCGTCAGTGCTGAAAGGAGCAACGGTAATGCAAACAAACAGAGGAGCCCAGCAGATGAGAAAAACACCCATAACAATAGCAAGAGTTCTTGTGGCCTTTCTCTCCCCCCGACTTGCTGTTACTCCAGAGGTTTTATTGCTTTTAATGATGCGTGCCTGTCTCAGGGCAACTAGGAAAATTTTAAAGTATATGCACAACATAATAAGTGCTGGAAGGTAAAAAGAAAATACGGGACCCACAGTACTGGGCAGTAGATCCTGCAAAGAGCAGTTTTCCTTACATGGATTATGATTTAAGCCTGCAATTGTTATACCAACTCCAATTAATCCAGAGATACCCCAACTTACCAGAATCATCACCAAAACGACTCTATTAGTTATTTTGGTTGTGTAGATGAGAGGCTGACATACTGCATAATATCTGTCAACAGCAATACAGCACAGATTCAAAATGGAACATGTGCCCAGAGAAACATCAAAGCTGTCTCGTACTTGACAAATAAGACCTGCATGACGCAGACATGAGCTCAGAGAGAATGCCATGCTGAAGGGAATGACCAGACTTCCTATGAGAAGGTCAGTCACAGCCAGAGAGACGATGAGAGAGTTTGTGGGAGTGCGGAGCTGTGCAAAGTAACCAACAGAGATGATTATCAGAAGGTTTCCACACACTGTAACAATGGATAAAAATGCAAAGAAAATATACAATAGAACACACAT